TTGGTTACACTCGTAACTGCGCTGACCGAGGCGGTAGCCTGGGACAGAGCGCCGTCCTCGCATAGCGATTGCGTCATCAATCAGCTTGGTGGGCTGAGCTACACAGAGTGGTGGGGGAGAGACATAGAGAGTGAAGTGTTCTGAACGTTCTCAAACGTGTTATGGAAAAGGGGCTCTCTTGTGACAAAGTCAATTGGAGCCAACTCTTTATTAAACACATTGAAACATACAGTCTCCTCCGTACCCTCAACAGAAGGGTGGGGGGGAATAGTGGGCTCAGTCGGACCATGCGCTGTGCCAGCTCCCATTCTCTCCCCCTCGTCCCGTCATTGGCGCCGTCTCTTCTGAGTACCCTTAGGGTGCTGCCAGGTCGGCGCTCTGATCACCTCTCTCACCCTGCGGAATCGTCGAAGCTTCGGGTGCCACTCGCCGTAGAACCCGATCTACTGGAGGCGGTGGAGGTGGACGGCTTCTGTGGCGCGTGGCTAGACTTCCCTGCCAATGGCAGGTGTCTGGCCAGCTGCTTCCCTCTCTCATCCAACTTAGCAAATTGCTCTGTCGTCTCTTTGACGGCGACTCCAAAGAGACCGTCGTCAGAGATGGGGGCGTTAAGCAGTGACGCTCTTTCGGCCTCTTTCATGGCCGTCAAACACAGCCAGACGTGTCGCTCCGTGACCACCGAAGTGGCCATGGACCTCCCCGCACAGACGGCCGACGCTTGAGTTAGGTGAAGAATAGCGCCAGAAATTCTGGACGCCTCTTCCACCTCCTCTCTCGTGAGCTCAGTCTTACCCGTTGTTAGACGGGACAGAGGCCGCGAGGAGGGCAATATTGTTAGCTGCTGCTACAGCCTGGGCTCCCAACGTGAAGGACGAGAATAAGGTCCGCCCTCCATCATATCCACCTCCGAAGCAGGGGGAATGGGGGGCAGCGCTATCTCTAGACGTCTAGCAGCTCTCTCAATGAGCCCAGGAAAGTCTGAGCGCAGAGAGGCTGCCGCGAAGGACATTGCTACTGACTTCCCGTGTGTGCTCATTTAGGACAACGCAGAGAGCTGGAAATCGACAGCGTTATCTTCGTCCTGAGTCTTCGTCTCTTCGTAGGCTCTTCAGTCTAGTCCAGTCGCTGAAGATAAAGGGAGGCTGATTGAGGGGAGGCATCCCCTCTTATAGGGACACCTGTACTCCTATTGGCTGCAGGTGTGTGCATAATTTTGTCTCCGGCTGTTCGCTGCCTAGGCAGCGGGGTAAACCAATAGGAGCAGAGCTCCACGATATAGAACGTCAGCACGCACATCTGGCTTCTATTTCAAGGATAATTGCATGTCATATGATAAGCAAGAAAACACATCAGAAAATCTATGAATCAGTACCTAGTACAATAGAATGCATGATCTACATTATATACAAAAGCGAACAAAGAAATATAATCAATTATTGCTTTTACATATACTATGTGAACATTTCCTCAGAATATATAACACAGGATTGTAATAGAGTAGGGCGCTAGAGACACCACTAGATGGGGGTATGGAACACCGATAAGTGGCAATACACTAGTTACAGAAACCCTTCAATAACAATTCTTCATTCATGCGTGATGGGTGGAGAGTTTTTAAATGGAACATCCACCTGCATTCAGTCTGGAGAAGACTGCTTTATAGAGTGTATATACACACATTTTCATGAATATTCGTTTTATAAGGACAGTGTTTAACAGAGTATGAATAGTATTCCTTTTAATGTATTCATATTTGTATTAGAATCCTTAAATATTGACTTATAGCTGGTGAGGTTTGAATGGCTAACACAGACAAATTGGGCAGGATTCAGACAACTATGGGTTGTTTGAACAGAGGAATATGGCCTGCTGTATTGTGACTGCTCCAAAATGGTGATTACAATTGAACCAAGGCACACTTGACTACATATAAACTATCCCTAAATGTCTATGGTCACACAGTTGGCGCAAGGGCTAGCTGGTGTAAGCAACCATGTCTAGATGCAACATTAGCAGACCTTTGGTAGACCATGAATACACATGGTGTACAGAATAACTGGAATAAAAATACAGACGGGTGAAGTTGGATTTTTGGACTGTTTACTTTTCAAAATGCTGTTTTTCCTGTGTTTTGTATAATATTGTTGTACAACAGCTGATGAAACTAACACTTAAATTGTGAAAACATTTGATCAGTGTTAATTCCTGATAGTTGCTGGTTGAAAAAAACTATCTACATAGGACCTTCTAATCAGCAGAGCCCTATACTACGAATTAGGTTTGAGGAGTTAGGAGGTAACTTTGGTCAACTCTGAATAACTGGTACAACGAGGCTCACCTTTTAGCCAGGTACATTTCTAGGGTAAGGAATCCTTCATAATAATAATATGCCATTTAGCAGACGCTTTTCTCCAAAGCGACTTACAGTCATGTGTGCATACATTTTTAGGTATGGGTGGTCCCAGGGATCGAACCCACTACCCTGGCGTTACAAGCCATGCTCTACCAATTGAGCTACAGTTGACCACTTCATAACTACCTGCCCTGGGGCAAGTAACACCATTTTGTACTGAATGAAGTGTCTGAGCCACGAGTTGAGGACCAATAAAATCAGATTCCTTCCCTCTCACATAGATTGCATCATCATCCCCTTCATTTGAGGAAGACGACTGATTTAAATATTTTATTAATCAAATGTTTTTTTGCGTTAAAAAAAGTGTAATATTAAAATACCTATCACATTACACATTTAGTAATGACAGAATGCACTTCTAACGCTCATTTCGGACCATAGCCTGCTGAATTTGTAGGCTAACTTTTCTTTCATTTAGAATTTGGCACAAATGAAAATCTGGTACTGACTCGCCCATGGATTGATGTTTCAGCATGGTCTCAATGAAGAGTTTGGTGTTCGACTAGCAATGTGCGACATGCACACACAGTTACAAGCCTGCTAGAGTTAGTGGCAGGCGGACGAGCAATATCCGCCATCGTAGTATGGATGAAGCCTGAGCTTGAATGTGAAGCTAACTGAAGCAGGCTAGCCTTAGAAAACCCTGAGAAGATCTAGCTTCCTTTGTAGTATACCCCTCAGGTTTTGCATGGGTGGAGTTTTGGTTTGCCTGGTGTTTTCACTAGGTGGTATAAGTTAATAGACCAATAACAGAGTTCTAACGTTCGCTAATTAAGTGAGAATGGCCGAGAAGCCGGTGTTTGGAGGATATATTGGGAAATCGTGCCAATATATCCTCCAAACAACAGCTTCGAGGGCATTATCACTTTTATACAACGGGTTACCAACATATTCAAATAATGATTGACATATGTTTCATTAAAAACGTTATTTTGATGAATTTATTCATACTATTTCATCCTTCCACAATATATATTCCCGACACAAATCTAGGGTTGCTACACAAGTCGGCTGGGCGCTCGTTCTATCGGTTCGGTTGCCAGATCAAACAGTGCAGCCAGAATAACAACAGCATGTGCATTTGTTTAAGCTGTTTTCTAGTGACATTTATTTGGACACATCCATAACAATGAGCTATTGAGGCACGATTTCGCCTGGCATAGAACATTTGTTCTCTCGTCTGGACACTTGTTCAGAGGAGCTAGTCAACAACACAGCCAACACAATCACTTCAAACGGAAGCTGGAAAGACTGCAAACTATCTGCATTTTGTTTCGTTTTACCTTTTTTCAATTTTCAATTCTTTTTTTTTTCTTGACATTTCTTTGTATATATCCATAGAAATTATGCCAGCTGATTCATGATTTCGACTGGCTGAGAAACGCTGCCTGCCTGTCTGTCTAGTCCCGACTCCCGACACGTTCATTACTATGGGAGTCCTGGAGATCGAATTTGAATATTGAAACAATGTTGCAAATGTCGGAGAGACAGACAGCAAGGTTTATACAAATCTCCGCTGTTGAAAACGAAATGTTAGTCCAAAAGAAATGTGAGAATGTCTAGATGCTTTTTAAAGTTTATAAATTGCCTTGCTAGGCTGGTGAGACAGTGGATTGCACAGTCAAATGGAACGGCGTAAATAGGCATTTTTAACGTCATAGATTTAGCTGGTGGTAACTTGTGGAATAGACACCAGCTGGAATGCGGTTTTAACCAATCAGCATTAGACCCACCCGTTGTATAACGTTAGCTAACTGTCTGAGAAGGTAGTGTGCAGCGAACATATGTGCCTGTTTCGGTCTAAACTGCCACTACAAATAATCAAGTGGCCATGTAGGCATTCAATTACATGTAGTAGGATTAAGAGCAAAGTCATTTTCAGTTTGAATATTGCCCTTTAAAAAGCTACAGTAATCCTTACAAAAAGGAGCCATTTGCGGCTTCACAGTAACATTTTGGAATGTTCATTCAAATTGTTCAACTGAAATTGTTACTCAGTAACATGTTCGCCTCAAACAGAACCCTTGTTAAACTCACCTCAGGTGTTAGTCTGCATACCCTGCATTCTGGTCTATAGGACATTCTGTAGGAAGCAGGTACCACCTCCCCCCAGGGGGGCCTCTGTGTGACCAACCACATAAAGGGAGGAGGGTTGTCGGGGAACATGTGGTTGGTTGGTTGGGGCTGTGGGGCTCCATGTGATTAAATGAAGCAACTCCACTAACATGTCATTACATTGTTATTACATAGTACTGCAGACCCAGTACTGGCATAGTGGGCTCCTTCTGCCACTGCATCTGTGTTAGGTGTATATTATGTTTGTTTATGTGTATATTATTATAGTGTTATTATATAGTAGCCCTTATGCATTTCCATTCCAGGGATGATAGTGTATGTGCTATGGTTACGTCCCAAATGGCACCCTATTTCCATATAAAGTGCACTACTTAGGGTCCCTGGTCAAAAGTAGTGCACTTACTAGGGAATAGGGTGATGTTTAGGACACCCTAAATGTATTTCTGTCCTCCCTGTCTCGCTATAGAACTGTGCTGAGAGGTTCCAATATAAGTACCAGCTACGCTCCCACATGAGCATCCACATCGGACACAAGCAGTTCATGTGCCAGTGGTGTGGCAAGGACTTCAACATGAAGCAGTACTTTGACGAGCACATGAAAACACACACAGGTGAGACACACAGTGAACACACACCTGTTTACACTCACACACTCACTGAGGAATTTGAGTGTGACACAAACGTGCAATTACAAAGCACATCCTCAAGGACTTATTCCTATAAAAGCCTTAACTTTTTCCTGTCATAGAAATGTTTGAAACCAAATATTCAGAAACTATTCTTCCAATAATGTTAGAAGCCAGACGTCTTCATTCTTAAACATTCGGAAATGCTCCCTGACCATAGCCATCCCATTTACTGGAGAGTGCATGGCCTTCAGTCTTGATCCCTAGTCAGCCAGTGATTCTCCGTAGATGCTCTATAAAAGGAAAGAAACAGGGCGTCCCAAGACGAGCAGTACCGAGACCTCGCCCAGTCTATATAATGAGAGGTGGTGCCTCTCCTCCATGTCTACTTATAATGACTACCCTGACACATGCTATATTACATCTTACGTTTTCTCCCCTGCCACTTTTCTCCTTTCCAAAGCAAAACATAGGGACCAGGCCTTGTTCTTTTTCTGTCTTTTTTATTTAATTTCTCCCTCCCTAGTGTGGGTGGATTCCCTGCACTCTGCCCTGGTGGTTCTTTTTGTAAGTTGTAATTATTTTACCCCTCTCCTCTCCCGGCCGCCGCTGACCAATTTAGCCTCCTGTGGTCGGAGACACACCCAGTGATGCCTTGGCACACACTTCTTCTTCTCCTTCTTGTTCTCTTCTCCTTCTTCTTCTTCTGCTTCCTCCCCCCAAGGTTGATCCTTTCCTCTGGAACGTACCTACTTCACGAAAGTTGCAGAACATTAACAAAAGGCTCCAGTATAATTTGTCACAATTAAATTATTCGCTGTCATACTGTAAATGGTTTACCGGAGCCTCTCAGAAAACATGTAGCTCAGATTAAAGCCGAGAGATGCTTTGAGTATGCTGTGAATGAGTGTACGGGGGTGGTAACGGGCACATTGAATGAAAGGTTAATGAGAGCAGCTCTCGAATGGAGATCCGCTGTTCATTTTCACATCTCCTCTTATCCCAATGTGTGAACTGGCATCGCTGCCTGCTGAGTGGGTGGGTTGACAGCAATGACCCCTAAAACTCTCCTACATTGTCTGAGTGAAAAGTTAACTTCTTCATGTAGTTCAGAGAGGTTTAATTAGCGCAGGACAAGTGTTGCCAGGTGGTATATTATTATTTTCATGCGTGAAGTTCTGTGACGTGTGAAAGTTAAACTAATTAGGGTGATCTAGTCCCTGAATCTCCTATCTATCCCCTCTCTCTCTCTCTCCTTTCTCTCTGTCCCTGGTCCCTTGCAGGAGAGAAGCCGTTCATCTGTGAGATCTGTGGGAAGAGCTTCACCAGCCGACCCAACATGAAGCGCCACCGCCGCACCCACACAGGAGAGAAGCCCTACCCCTGCGATTTGTGCAGCCAGCGCTTCCGCTTCTCCAACATGCTCAAGGCCCACAAGGAGAAGTGCTTCCGGGTCACCAGCCCTGTGACCCTGCAGGCCAGCGGCCTCCCCCTACCTCTCCACCTCTCTGCCAATGCCTCCTCCTCCTCTGGCCCCGGCCCGGGCCTTGCCCCCTCAGCTGCCACCACCTCCGCCCCTCTGGGCCTCAGCCCGGCAGGGGGGGCTCTTCCCCCACGCACCCCCGTGGGACACGCCACCTTCTCCCACCTGCACTTGTCCCCCTCTCACCATCTCCCTCACCACCACACGTCGCAACAGCAGCAGCACCACCCCGGCACGCCCCTGCAAGCGCCCCCTCTCCCCCACCACCACCTTGCCTGTGCCCCCTGTCTCCCCTCCCCCCGCCCTCTTCAAGAGCGAGCCCCTCAACCACTGTGGGCAGGAGGACAGCAGCTACCTGCGCTACATGGCACCGCAGGACAAGGGCCCCGGGGCCCCCCAGCATCACTGAACCCTATGTGGGCCCTGGGCTCAAGGCCTGCCACACCACCATACCCCCACCCCAACTCTCCCTGTACCTGGCCCCTGGTGTAGAGCGGCCCCTCAAAGACTGATATGAACAAGACACACTCAGAGCTCAGTACACACCAGTGGGAGAGTGTGAGGGATACAGACAGGTACACTTTCAGTCTACACTTTAGATAAGTGAGTGACCCACTTAGCTAGAGCCCCAAGTCAACTGACACAGATTTTACAACCTCTTGCTAATATATTTTCTTGAGAAAATATTCTTAGTAAATCCTGAATTCTTAGACAACCTGCCTCCCATGGTAGAAGGCTGTGTGTGTACCGGTATGTGAGTTATCCCTCGTTTGTGTACATTGTATCCTCTCCACTGACGGCTGCTGATGTAATTATTCTACTAGTAGATCATTATCCAGGTAGCGGATCAGAACAGATCCATTTAATCAACTTAGTCCTTCATGTCGACTGACTTAAACAACGGTTGCACAGTTCGGGGGAGTTGTAAGTCCTGATCCTAAGGCTGACCCGTTGGACCATGAGGTCACCAAGGTCTTGTTGAATGGTTACCATCCTGGTTCCAACTAGGCCTCCCACTGTCTCCTGAGGCATTCCATACTGGTTCTACCAGCAGTAGGTCAGGAATCACTGCCATAGGTCACAGTGGGGAGGTTAGAAAACACCTGTTAGTGCTACTACTAGTCTGCTGCAACAGCGATTCTAATTCTGGTTAATTGGTGCTTTCCATTGCAGTACTACACACAGTTATATACACATAGGCAGTGTAATTTAACAGTGTGGGATTGGTTGCGTTGTTGTGATGCAGTTCTGGGTTATGTCTTCTTAACTGACTTACAGCCTTATCTTAGAGCTGATAAGGTCAGACGTTCCCAACAGAACAACCCTGATGAACCTGAACGTGCCATCCTGTATACACACAGACACACACTTCAAAAAGCAGTATGTCATCACTGGTCTCTTTTTCCTTTCACTTCACACAAAATGCTTGTCAAGGGATTCTGCTGTTTTTTTGGCTTCTGTCATCAAAACAGTGAAATAATGCCACTGTGACGGGTCATCACATACGACCCAACCTGCACCTCGCGTCTCTCTTCTCTCTCTCTCTTTCTCTATCTATCTCTTATCTATCTCTCTTTATTTCTCGATCTATTGCTCGCTCCTCTCTCTCTCCTGCTGCTGCTGAGATAATACGGGTCACCCTGTAAAAGGTCATTAAAACACAAGATTCAGAATTTCAGACTTTTTCAGCACAACTCTTAACTGAAAAATATGTATTTTCCCAACCAGCCTATATTCCACAGCTCGGTGTGGAGCAGGACAATTTTTTTGTAATGTAACGGTTTGTTCTCTTAGTTTTACTTATACTGTATAAGGTTACACAAACGTTGAAGCCCTATCACACACTTTGGCAAATAATGATGAATCAAAACATGTTGAATGTTGTCTAGATGGAGTGATATGGGCTAACGGTTTAGCAATCAAATATGTTATTTTCTAGTAATATTTTCTGGAAATATGCTACATTCAGTTTCAGACTGAAGAATTGTTCTCATCTCGCTCTAAACATACTGTTGAGTGATAGTCATAGGAAAGGTTGGAGGATATTTCTAACATGCATTTACATGTCTTGTATAGATACATTTACCAAGTTGTACTTTTACTCAAAGAAATCACATTTGTAAATGTAACCTTTTTTTGTGTGTGTGAATGTTCCGCTGTCCCAATGTATGGTATTCTGACAGTCAGGATGTTAGTATTGATGAATGACAGAGAGAGATTCTGGCGTGTCGGATGGTTGGGAGTGGGTTGGAGGATGTTGTCCGCCCCCCATTCACCCTGTCTGGTACTGTTATCAGATAGACTGAGTGTTGAGGAGCAACATTAAGGTGTGTGTTTGTCTCAGTAATGGCAAAAATGGAACCCCTCTGGTGCTGTTGTAACAAAAGCTGCTTTTACATAGTCTGGCCCCGGCCATATTTTCTTTCTGTCGTTCAACCTCTCTGGGTCTCTCCCTCTATGCACACCCTGCTAAAGCCATTCCATCTGTTGAACAGGGTTCTGGGGGGGGATTTGTAGACACAAGAATATGTCTTACATGTTTCTGTGGATTAACACATAATAGGTATAACATAGTAGTGGATCAGGCTGAGATGACTACTATGTATATGAGAAACTGAAGGAACAATCGCAGACCATTAGCAAGACCCTGTACCACCTTGAGTTGATGGTATTTGGCCCATTTAATTTGGTTTAACAGTGGACAGAGAGACCCACCCTCTAGAGAGCTACAACCGTTCTGCGATTACTATGGGTCTGTTAGTTGGGCCTCTATCAGCTTAACCATGCGTTACCTACTGTTTTTCAAGATGTTTCAGTACGAGGCTTTTTTTACATTCGTTTTGAAAAGCCTTTTCATTTGTGTGTATCCTCTGCACTTTACTGCTGCGTGAGTGAGGCGCAGTGAAGGGAGGGACTGACAATGCATTGTGGGAGTGAGTGATGTGTTGGGTGCATGGAGAAGGGAGGGAGGTGGTGATTGGTTTGGTGAGTGGCTGTTTGGGCAAGGAAAAGGAGGAGAATCAATCTGGAGGTGGATAGTGTGGAAGGGACCATGGCATAAGGACATTTCTTTTTTTGTTTAGTTCATATATTTGTTTAGTTTATTTTTTCCTGTAAGGAAATAGACTTTGCCTCTAATATGGACTCCGAAAGAGAGACGGAGTAGTGTTGTTCCTCCTGCTTTGGTGATTTTACACTAGCCCCTCCCTGCTTCATCTGATCTGAAATACATTCATGTTATTGAGCTGAGGTGTTTGTCTGCCTCATCCAGTTTCCTCTTTGTTGTGTAACATTTTCTCTTCCGATTTGCTGTATGATTCTCCTCCTTTCATCTTTGTTATATAGAATGCACTTTTGACTAAAATCCTGGCTAGTTAAGAAAAATAACAATGTATATTCTTTAAAGATGTTTAAAAATAATAATCTATATACTTTTTCCCCTCATGTATTTTTAACCACTTAAAGTAGCATTGCATATTTTATTATTGTGAGTATCTGGTACAAAATTGTGCAGCTTTATACTGTCCTGGGTTGGGGTTTGTTTTGGGGGGGGGGGGGGGGGTTGTTTTTTATGTTTGTTTTTGGAGATTGAGGAGAAGTGTAAATGTTGGGCCTTTTTTTGATAATGTACATTTAACAGACTCTGCTAACTTTCAGAAGTAAAAAATGAGTAGCCATAATTATCACATATTTGTGTGCTGTCATGTGTTCTCTGTCAGATCCTATGTGGTATTGGTAGCTTCATGTGCATTTGAAAATGATCTTTGCAGTAATGGTATCCTGTTCTCACAGCTAATGGAATAAAATGGCTGTCTCAGCTAGGGCTGCACACTATTCAAATTATTATCGAAATTGCAATATTGACATGTGCAAAATGCATATCGCAAGAGGCTGCAATTTATTCTTAAACGCCATGAATGTAACGTTCAAATGTAATAAGGGTCCCCTGGGAAACTCTGACCAACACTGGTTCCTACCATGTGACAACAACTTGTACTGTACCTTGCTTGTTCTTTAGTTGTCATGCCAAACTACACCAAGCATTGAATCGGAATACAATTTTTATTTCTATGATTCCAACAGTTCACCAAAGTGTTTTGATCAAAATTGCAAGTTAAATCATAATCGCAATATTTGGTCAATATCGCGCAGCTCTAGTCTCAAAACTACATCACATTGTCTGTTGCTACGGATACCACAGGAGTCTTGTATACAGACAGGTCGTAACTGAGGAAATGCATCATGTTCACTAAGAACGTGACAAAAATAATTTTTTTAACTTAAATGTAATCTAAATTCAGATCCCCCATTGAATGGATAGTTTTACCAGCCATTTTGAGTCACAGGCTGATAATATAAAACAAACTGTACAATCAGTCCTGGACTAAACAAATCCGTCACCAAGATGGAAAGCTGTGGTTGAAATTGTGCACCATGTTGAGAACCAAATGTGTGTTTGCCGCCAAGCCTTTATGAAACAGTGCTGTTTCCCAGAGTTAATCCCAGCTGGCTGTATTATTCATTACTACATGGATTTAATCAACAGGGTTTGTGTTATTCTGATTGCTTAGTCATGTTCTTTGATACAGCCTCCAGACGTCTACTGCTCTGATTCCAGAGATCTGGTCATTCCTGTTACACAGGGTGCTGCAACTCTCTGACCTCTTTCTTTCACTCCTTTTGCAAGCTGGCTCACTCTGTACATTTTCTTCCCTTTTTCTATTACCTTCTGACTGTTGTTCCATCTCTGTGGTTGCAGTCAGATTTGTGTTTGTCTGGTGACGTTTTAGAGTAATTTGACAAGCTAAACTCTTGATCTCTGTGGGCGTTTGTCTGCAGTGTTGTGAGTGGATGTGATTGTATCAACAGAAAGAACCTGATACTGATCCAATGGCTGAAATCACTGCGTTAGCAAACAGAGGCTTTCCTTTATCGCTCACGATTTGAACTGTGTGGTAAATCCTTGTGTCTGTGGCAACATTGTTGGAGCACTGTGTTCCCTTTGGCCTTGTGTTCCAATCCAAATAGGTCCAGTCTTCTACACCCCTGACCTTTTTAGATGACCTGACTAACTCCATTGTTACCTGGCCTCACAGCATTAGAAGCCATAATAGTGCAATGCCCGGGGGTATTTTCCTCAAGGAACCATTCTAGAGATTAATAAATTAAAGGCTTGCACAAACACAGCTTGACGGTTTCCAAAAAATTTGCTTTAATTTTAAGCACCACAAGACCACTGCTAATAAGTCTTGTTGGAAGCCCTGCAAGAACACTTAGAGCAGTCCTTGTGCATTACTAGACATAGTATTATGCACTCGTTTTAATTAATAGAACTGGGTTTGCCTGGCAGGAAGGAAGCGGGAGTGAAGATTGACCTTGTCATGGAGGACGCCACATAAATCATATGAC